CAATAACCCTAGATCTAACATACAACTTCGAAATTCAAACAGAAAAATAGGGTTAGAAGATTACCTCACTTGTTATATAGTAATAACAAGTCAATCTTGATGATCCTTGACTCTTGAAAGCTTAGTGCCTCAAGTGTTGCACCTCTAATGGAGTCACAAACACCCAATGAAACAAGATGAGAGGAGAGACACTAGAAAATCGGCTAGGGTTCTTCAAGGAAGCATAGGGCCGAAATTCTAATGCTTGGGGGGAGGGGTTGATATAGCTCTGGGCTGGTAGGGTTTTCAGGTGGAAACCCTAATTTCCTGCTTAAGGCTTAAGTAGCCCATGGACTCCTATTATGAGGCCTTAGACGAAAATCTTATAAGGCTTCCTATAATTTTCGTCCACTCCATCATAAGGAGTCCGGTAGCCCAGTTTCACAACTATCAAATGATTTGTAAAACAGCCCCTCCATTATTAATCAGTTCCCTTAATCCCAAAATTAATATGAAATTAATTTTTGATTAATTACTAATTAATAATATGATTTCCAAATAATATATTAATCTTGCAATATATTAATAAAACCATTTTGAGTACCAATTTATTATTTCAAATAATAAATTCTACTCTCTCTACCCCAGTCATCCTGTCAAGTTGCATGAATGAAGGCAACCCAAAAGGACCATGCTACAATCAAATCAAGTACATACCAATTATAGTTATGGACTTAGACACCAAATCCAACAATTAGTGCCCAACATATAAATGTTGGTTATGATGATTTTATGTATGATTTATGTTATGTCCCTATTAAACAAGATAAAATTGATGATGAACCAAATAAAGAATATGGAACATCCGATGATGAAGGAAGCTTGGATAGCAACACCGATGATGTGTCAGGTGAAAGAGCTACTCAATATGGTATACATGACCATAATATTTATTGGAAGAAGATGAAACCACACCTTACAAATTTTTTTTCTAATCAAGAGCAATTACATTTATCTCACAAATTATGATGTGGCCAATGGTTATCTAATAAGGGTGGTGAATTTTTTACTGAAAAGCTTCAAGCTAAGTGTGACACGAATAGGAAAGGTAAATAATTTCCTTTCAAAATGTGGGCTTCATGGATGAATAAGGAAAAGTCCTTTCAAATCTAGGGATTCAATGACACATACACTTGTACTATAGTGTTTAGGCATGCTACATTGGCCAGTCATGTTTGGATTGCAAAACAATTCCTTAAACATTTGTATATGATGCCTAGAATGAAAGGTAAATAGATTAAATAAGTTGTAAAGAAGAAATTTCTATGTGAAGTCTCAAAGTAACAATGTTATAGGTTAAAGAAGAAAGCACTGGAAATTTATCAATAGGAAGCTCACCGAGTATTATGCTCGTATATAGGACTATGCTCATGAGATCCTTACATATGATCAAGGGAGTACAGTCCAAGTGGATGTTAATGGCAATCCATATGGAAGAACTTACTTTTGTAGGATTTATGTTTGCTTCAAGGTAGTGAAATACGACTAGAGTAGGTGTTGTAGAATAGTTGTTGGATTGGACGGTTGTTTCCTTGAAATCTAATGCAAATTGGAGTTGCTTACTACAATTGGAAGGGATAGAAACAACCAGGAATACCCATTTATAGTGGTCATAGTTGATGTTAAGAACAAGTCAAATGTCTTTTAGAGTTAATAGTGGATGACATTGGTGTACTAATTGGTGGAGGGCTAATTATCATTGTGGATCAACATAAAGTAATATTATTGTTGATTTATTTAAGTTTATTTTGTACATATTTATCCATTAATGAATTTTAATATTTTTTTTAAAATTTCAGGGAAAATAGAGGTTGCTAATGTTGTTTTGCTTGGAGTGCAACACATGCAATATGCAAGACATGTGTTTTCAAAATTCAAAAAGGCTTATAGTGGTGTGGATTATAAAATATTGTTTTGGGCAGCTCCCACTTCAAGCACCGAGGCATGTTTTCTTGGGGAAATAGAGGAACCGAAGGGTATGAATAACAATGCATATGAGTACCTTGTTCAAAGGGATCCAAACAAATGTAGTATGTCGTTATTTTGATGAAGGAAAGGCTTGTTAAGTGTGGAAAATAAGATATCTGAAAGCTTCAATTCAGTGATAATAAAAGAAATGACAAACAAAATACTTACCTTGTTGGAAAATATAAGAATCAATGTTATGGTGAGGTTTTGCAAAATGTCAAACAAATCTTAATTGGAATGAGGATGTCTGTCCTTCAATCTTAAAAAAGCTTCAAGATCGGTGTACTTACATGAGGTACTATTTATTGTTTCTTAATAAAGCTTCAAGATTTGTACTAACATTATATAATATTACAGGTTATAAGCCGTAGTAATCAAGTGAAACACGTATATGTGAAATTAAGCTAGATTTGATGCATTTCAAATAGACTTGGAACAAGGATTTCGTATTTGTAGACATGGAATTCCATGTGTCCATGCGTGTGCATATACGAATTATACACATCAATATCTTGATGCATTTATAAACAACTACTTTAACAAAAAGATGTTTGTACACACCTATAGAGGTAGGAGCATCGGCAACAAACACAAGTTTGTGTTCTACCCACCTTCTAAAAGCATCATATCAAAAAAAATCTATCAAATGCACAACATACTACAACTTTACCTGGCCAAAAGATATCTTATCTCTCATAGAGTCATACCGACACTATAACCACCATCAAGGTAAGGTCTTAATAAGCAATATTAAACATTCAGTGCTCTCTCTCTCTCTCTCTCTCTCTCCATTTGTGATCATAAGCGGAGAAGATTGTTGCCCATTAACCAAGACACTTCAGGCCATTCATAGTCCACTATTTACTATTTAGTATTTATATGGAAGAATTTCATATATACCCTTATTAAACGTCTGAATATCATATTTGTCTCGCTTAAACTCTAAATATCATATAGGCCCTCTTTAATCTTTTAAAATATCGAATTTACCCAAATCATTTTTTTAATAGTTTTTAATATTTAATAATCCATTTTTATATTTTAAAATCATTAAAATTAAAAGAAAAACAAAATGGACCATTTTACCCTTTACTTCTAAAAGGCAGGAAATCTCCACAAGATCCTTGGTTTTATGCCTTTGCCTTCTTCCTTACGATCTTTGTTGCTCACTTTAGCATCTTCCTTTTTTCCTCTCGCCATATTCTTTCTTTCAGTAGTTAATGATCTTCAGGTAATACGCCCTTCTTTTTGGCAACATAATCAAACAGAAGAAGTATTACTCCAGGAAACTTTTCCTGATGTGAGTGTGATTAATCGCAAGGTATCTTCATTTTTTACCATCACACTCAAGTTTTTTTTTCCTATTCAGGTTGTTATTTAATCCTCTGGAATTTTGATTTACATAACACAGATAAAAGCTCGAGTCCCATTTTTAGATGAAGAATTTATCAACGTTGTTATGAGCATAGACCCTAAAGCGAAAATGGTAAAGAACAGAGCTTTGCTTCCTCTGCTATAGTTGATGAAAGTTTACTATATCAACAAACTTGATGAAATTATATGCAGATTAACATGAATGAAAAACGAATTCTTAGATGGGCTTTCGAAGATGAAGATCACCAGTATTTGGTTAAGGTCTCCACTTTTTTTTATTTTGTGAAAATAATCTCTGTTTCGAACCATCAGTTTACACCTTTGCAAACTGTAAGCACAACACATGCTCTATCAAGTTCATGACTTATTGAATATTGCTTCGAGAATGAGAATTGCGGGTTTCCTTCTTCCTTTTCTTGAATGATTAATTGACGAATCTGCCTAAAAACAATGCTCTATTAAGTTCATGACTTATTGAATATTGCTTCGAGAATGAGAATTGCGGGTTTCCTTCTTCCTTTTCTTGAATGATTAATTGACGAATCTGCCTAAAAACAATACTTACTTCTACTTGAAACTGGGATCGAGGTGGGCAAACCTACAACCATGTTGCCATTTTTAGCCCTCATGAAACCTTTCCCAAAAACAAAAAAAAAAAAAAAAAAAAAAACTACACATGAATCATGAACAGTAGAACCTTCTGCAGGTGCAGGTGTAAGTGTCGTGCTTATGGTTTCTTGTGAAGCCTTCTAATGTTATAGAAGTAAAGGGAAAAATGGTCAATTTTGGTTTTCCTTTCATTTTAATGATTTTAAAATAAAAAAAAGATTATTAAATATTAAAAACTATTAAAAAAACAGATTTGCGTAAATCCGATATTTTAAAAGATTAAAAATGACAAATATGATCTTTAACACTTAAATCTGGTAAATATAATATTTTGACGCTTAATTAATAAAGAGATATACAAAATTCTCCATATTTATAAGCCCATGGTTGCGATATATTATTAATACAATGCACAAAAACATTAAAAAACACAAGTTATTCTATTTTCAAAATTAATTAAGAAGACTTCATAGCTATTGACCCCCCAACTTGACGTGTGGTCCAACCACTATTTAACTAAGGGCACGTGGATCAATCTTATCCGTTGATCTCACAATGTAGAGTAATCCAACGGCCAGTAATACGCGTTGCTTCTTTTGGCAAATAATTTGTTTCTGTAAAATTCTAACACTCGTTAGTGCGGCGGAATCCGTATATTAATTGAGAGAATATGCCACGTGGACTCTTCACGCTCTTTAACCATGGTTAACTTCACCCTACCTCTTGTACCCGATTTAACTCACCTTCTCAAACCCTATATATATACTCGCTTCACCCAACCACAGTCTCGTTAACTCCGAGAATCTCACCGGCGTTTCTATATCGGTTCATATATACATATACACCCTTTGTGTATCTCTATATTCAAAATCTGAAAACCCTAATTTTTTGTGTGAAATCTTTGTTATGAGTGTTGTGATTGCATTTTTGAAATCAGAAGGGAATAAAATTTTGCAGGAATGGCGGAAATGACGACGACGAAGCGATTCAGTATAGGTTACGGGCTGTTAATGAAGAAACAGAAGAGTTTTATCCAGGATTCTTTGGTGAATTTAGCGAAAGAACGCGGTATCGATCTTATCAAGATCGACACCGACAAGCCGTTGGTGGATCAAGGTCCTTTTGATTGTGTGCTTCATAAGTTGTACGGGGAAGAATGGAGGAAACAACTCCGGGAATACTTGGTTTATAACCCTAACGCTATTGTAGTCGACTTTCCGGATGCAATCGAGCGGCTACACAACCGGATTTCGATGCTCGACGTTGTGTCGGAGATTGAAGAGGTGAAAAGCGATGAGATGGCGTCGTTTGGGATACCGAAACAGATTGTGATATACGAGCCGGAGAAGTTGAAAGAGGCGAAGACGTGGGGCGAGGGTTTGAAGTTTCCGGTGATTGCAAAACCCTTGGTGGCGGACGGGAGCGCAAAATCGCATAAGATGTTGTTGATTTTCAGTAGCGAGGGTTTTGATAAACTGAAACCCCCTACTGTTCTGCAGGAGTTTGTGAACCACGGCGGGGTTATCTTCAAAGTGTATGTCGTCGGGAAGTATGTGAAATGCGTGAAACGGAAATCGTTGCCGGACATTGCAGAAGAGAAATTGGAGAGTTTGCATGGTTCTTTATCATTCTCTCAGGTTTCTAACCTGACTTCACATGACAGAAACGATGATAAGTACTATAAGAGGATGGATTTGGAAGATGCAGAGATGCCACCTATGAGTCTGATAACCAACATTGCTCGTGGATTGCGTAAGGCAATGAAACTGCACCTCTTCAATTTCGATGTCATCAGGGATACCAAAGTTGGGAACAGATACCTTGTGATTGACATCAACTACTTCCCAGGATACGCTAAGATGCCTGGTTATGAATCTGTTCTTACTGATTTCTTCTGGGATGTGTTGAACAAGAAAGAAGCTAGGTCTTTCAACAGCGACAAAGAGTTAATGAAGTTGGTGGACAACAATGGTGCAGGGTCTGATAATGAATCTTCTGCATAACAAAAGAAGAACCAAGAAAGATCTGATGACATGCTCAAGGAGATGAAGATCAGTTCTGTTAAAAAACAAAAGGTACGCTGAATTACTGATCATTGGTTAATCTTGGGGTTTGTTGGTCAAAGGAAGCTTTTGCTTTGGGCATTTTCTTCTAGATAGTTGTTAGTACAGGGGTTTATGAATAGGGTTTCTTTGGTTTGGCCTCCTGACAGCAATTTACTTGGTGTTCTCTTGTTGATCATATCATGTACATCTCATCGTTTGCTTTTGGAGATAGGTACTTTTCAAATTCGCCCAAAGTTTGTAGGAAGATTAAGTTTCTTTACAAGGCCCATATTATATTTCCATGTTTTGGGAAACTTTAAAATTGTGTGCCTTGACATCTTTGATCAATGAATCTTTCCTTTTGAATTTGAATGATGATAATGATACTAGTCACTTTGTTACTTGATAAAATAGTGGGTTAAAGAATCTATAAATCGGTTGCATTTATCGGTTTCTTGGGTTCTTTATGGGGTATTTTGCCATAGGGGAAGTGGGTTATATAAAGAATCTAGTTACATTATCTATTCCTTAAGGTTTTAAGGCTTAATCCATTAAGACTAGATGTGTGTAAGTTGATAATCCAGTTTTTAATGTCAAGTATAGGGCTGTAATTGGTTGAATAATAGCACTAGAAATGATGTAGTTAGAGTTAAATCCCTGAAAATCTATTTTTGAGGGCCTTTTTAGTTTTTATGGAAGTTAATTTTCTCATTTGCCACCAGATTTGTTGGTTCGTGCCCATTTATTTTGTTGATTTTTGAGGTTTTTAAAAAGTTGTATTTACAATATTTACTTCTACTTGATGATACTTGATGATGTTATGTATATTAGTAGGGGCATTTGCATAATTTGTAATTTCGCATTCATTTAGCTTAACAATAAACGAGTAGAATTTTAAATGTAAGTTCTCAATCTTATACATCTTGATTGTATATCATCAGGATGGATCAATTTCGAATATGTTGAAATTCACATAGTTGGTGCATAAACCTTAGAACCAACATTTTTCTCCAAATTATTCAAGATCTAGTAAGATTGATATTTGATATATAATATTTATTATTGATAAAAACGAACAAAAAAAATATTATTTCTTTTTATTTTTTATACTTGTGAGCCTTTAGTGTTTGGTACGTGGAACAGGACGAAGATAATAAAACAATTTTAACTATTAACAAACAAATAAGTATATATATTTTTATTTCAATACTTTTTCTTTGTACTTGTGAGCCCCCTAAAGTAGCGTTTAATTAAACAATTTTAAGTATCGACAAGGGAAAATGACTTATATGGGTAACTATGTTCCAAAATTGTTCAAAAAATACAATTTAAGTTTGGTGTGTTCAAAAAACACCATCCAAGTAAAACATTTGTATAAAAAACACCAACAAAGTATATTCTTTGTTCAAATTTAGCCATGTGGTAACCGGCAATTACCGTAAAAAATAAATAAAGGGAAAAAAACAAGAGGAAATGACTCAAAGAGGTAACTATGTTTCAAAAT